CCGGTCGCGAGCTTGGATCTCGCATTGCGTGGAGAAGGTAAACTCGGACACCACGCGAGCCGTCGGCATGAGCTAGGCTGCATCGTGTGCGCGGAAAGAGATCGGACCCGATCGGATTTTAGACCGTGTACTCTGGCGGTCATGAATGACTTCCTCGTGTACATGGTGCAGCCTGGTGGTGGTAACGTAAACGTAACGTAAAAAACGAGCTCGAGAACTTATGTACTTGCGGTACCTGATGTATAATAAACTGTAAAATAATTAATGTAATAAAGCAACTTATTGAACGATAACAATGAGTACGTTTAATTACACGAATATGTCTAGCAAACCCTCTACTCGCCTATTCCTGATCCTTGAAAATCACTCGTAGATCTAAGGCACGAAACTCGGTGCCACCTCCTCGGTTGTCCTATGATCCTGTTAGAAATCGGAAATTTCAACCCTTAAAAATTTTGCTCGGGAGAAACGCCGTGCCACCTCCTCGGTTATCCTATGATCCTGTTAGAAATCGGAAATTTCAACCCCTAAAATTTTTGCTCGGGTGAAACACCGTGCCACCTCCTCGGTTGTCCTATGTTCCTGTTAGAAATCGGAAATTTCAACCCCTAAAATTTTTGCTCGGGAGAATTCCGTGCCACCTCCTCGGTTGTCCTGTGATCCTGTTCCATCTCTGGCGATTTGTAACAGGAACATAGAACAACCGAAGAGGTGGCACGGAATCCTCCCGGGCAAAAATTTTAAGGGTTGAAATTTCCGATTTCTAACAGGAACATAGGATGACCGAGGAGGTGGCACGGAATTCTCCCGGGCAAAAATTTTGGGAGTTGAAATTTCCGATTTCTACCAGGATCATAGGACAACCGAGGAGGTGGCACCGAGTTTCGTGCCTTAGATCTACGAGTGATTTTCAAGGATCAGGAATAGGCGAGTAGAGGGTTTGCTAGACATGCTCGTCTAATTAAACGTACTCATTGTTATCGTTCAATAAGTTGCTTTATTACATTAATTATTTTACAGTTTATTATACATCAGGTACCGCAAGTACGTAAGTTCTCGAACTCGTTTAGCTGTAAACGAACGTCCCACGCGGTTAAAACCATTCTGCTTCCCGAAAATTTGGGACTGGATGGTCCAACGCAAGGTCTAGATATATATGGTCAAAGATCGAAAGACGTCGGCCCGGCCAATGGGGGCTCCGGCGTCGTCCCAATCAGCGTCGCTTTGTCAGCGCGCCGCCCTGACCCTCGACGTAACCGGCATAGGGGTCCTCGTTCCTCGAGGAGCGCGGCGGTCCGAATAAAGAGGCCGCCGCGGCCGGAGGAAGCGCCATGCGGGGCGACTCGCGGAAAGCGTCGGAGACACGGCGGGGAAAATCGGAGAGAGAAGCGCGTCGCAAGTGGGCGGGCGAAGAGGAGTCCTTGGCGATCCTTAGGACGATGCCGAAGCAGTCGCCGGTCGCCGCCATCGGGGACACTCCCGAGTAATGTATCATCGTTAAAGCGCCGTAAACGACGAGTTCGCTCCGCGTCCTCCTTTCGGGCCTCGATTCCGCTTTACGGCCCGCCCTCGGCTCGTCGATTCGCCGTCGTTCGGTCCGCGACCGGATCAGCGGAGGTGGCGGAAGTCGCGACGATCGGCGGTTCGAGAAAGAAGACCTCGACCGCGACGACCCGACCGAGGCGTTTCGCCCCGCGGGGACGGGTGACTCTATTTTTTCACATTATTCGCGAGCGGAACGGAGCGGCCGGATCGAGCGAGCGTCGAGTTAAGGAACACGGGAAAGCACTTCTGGACTCCTGACGTGTCCCTCCGTTCTCGGCTCTTCCATCCTCCCAGGTGGAGGACCGGGGCCCACGGTGGAGCGCGCTCTCGAGATAATACATTAATTTTCTATTGTCATCGGCCACCCACCGGAAGACCGATCGTTTCGGGGCCGGCATCTAACGAACGGACCAACTTCGAGGTCTCGGCGCTTCGCCGTCCAATTTCCATTAAAGGCCATTTTCGACCCTTGCTCCCCGCTGGAAAGGTCGGCCCGAGGATCTCCGTTTCCGGGAAAACGATCGTAGATTCGATTCGACGCTTACGAGCGGGAAATCTCCGGAGCTCGCATCGACGCTCAAACGCGTCCGTTTCCGCGGTCTCCGAGTCGGATCCGATGTATCATAATCAGGCGGTCAGCTTACTTAATCCAGGGAGTCGCGCGCTTAAGTTAATTAGCTAATTAGTAATTTTAATCGGATGACTCATGCGCATCTCGGCAGATACAAGCAAACCCTCTTAGCGGGGGTGGCGGGACGGCCCTCCACGGCGGGGGCATGCCCGGTAGGGGCGGGGGGCCGACGCGGTCCTATTCTGAGAAAAACTCGACGTAACTGCGTCTAATTAATTTAGCGAAAAACTCCTCGAACATTTTTCATCCGCTCCGTCCGGATACTAATTCGTCGTTCGTTATAATCGGGAAGTATAACTCCAAATTGCCCCTCTTCTCCGCGCCGCGTTCCTCCCGTCGTTGACGTCGAGACGTTCGCGAGTTTAACTCCGCTTCGAGGTTAGTCCCATGAAGGGGCACAAGGAGACGTAACGCCAATGGGCGGTTCCGTGGAAAGTAACCCCGGATCTCCGATTTTCGCCGATCCAACGATACGAGCGCCACTCGCGGAGACGACTTCGGTACATGGCGTTGTATCTCCTTGTACTACTTCGGGGGCAGCCGCTTTCACGCTGAAAGCCCGAAGCCTCGCTTCTTCGGACCAGCGTCCGGTCGAGCTCGCGGTCGCGTTTTGGTCGAGCAACGGATCGAAAGAAGCGCATCGTCGACTCCGCCCGAAAGGGCACCCTCCGCGCTCGGCGAGCTCGCCACGGGGGATCGAGGTTCCCACGGGACGACCGGCTCCTCCCGCGGCCTCGCCCCTCGTCGTAAAAATAATTCGTTTACGGGGGAAGCGCCATGCCCAATTTGAGTAACGCACCAGACCCGCGCGGTCGGTGAATGCGCCCCCGTGATTGCCTAACTCGATTCGAGTCAATTTCGGGGGAATCGATTCGATGCAAATCGAACGGCGTCGATCATCGATTCGATTACTCGCGGCGAGCCGGCGGAGTTTCCGGTAGGGCCGGGGCCTCCTCCTTCGATATTAACTTTCGCTCCCGAGCGGTCCTCGCTCGGAGGCCGACCGGCGCGTTTTCCCCCCGCATTTATCGCGGGAGTCCGCCTCCGGTTTGTTTTAAGCGAGCTTAATTAGCGCTCGCCGTTAACGAGAGGGGCGGACCGATAGCCGCCGCTTCTTGGACGGCCGATGGATGCCGAACGGTGAAAGACGAGCGCGATAATGGCCCCCGAAGTGGAGAGCCTTCCACTTTTTCCCACAAAGGACTCGCGCATAAAGGCGGAGAAGAGGGCGTCTCCGAAATACCTATCGGGGGGCCCGAATGTTCTCCCCCGCGTCTTCGCGTGGCGGCGACTCGAGCGAGTTATCCGCTATTAGAAGCGGAGGGAAACGGGAGGGACGCGTACCGGGTGCACTCGTTTCCATCGGGGGGGCTTTGTCGCGTTACCGTCAAGACTATCCGCTCTCGACGGAGGAAGATGAATTTTGGAATAAAGTCCGGTCCGCGGAAGAGAATGCGGGATGCTTGCGCCGTTAATGAGGTAGGAATTAATTAACCGGGGCGCTCGGAGGGCGGAGAAGAAGGGGGAGTAATTAGGGGTCTATAATTGCGTGGAGTCAGCTAGCGGCCGGGTTCGAGGGGCAACGCCGCGTCACACCCCGCGAGCCGCCGCCGCCCGATTTCCGCTGCGGCCGGCCGGCCGCGGACCGTCTTCCTCGCTCCTCTTTCGCGCTTTTCCGGACTCGACGGGCGCGTCTACCTAGACGTCCGTCGCCGATATCTCGGCGCGCCCCCGCTGGCGTGGGCGTCTCTCCTCCGCTAACGAGGCAGATTACCGTGCCGGCCAGATAAGAAGAGACAACGGTGCGCATAGGAAATGGGTTATCGCACCGCGAGCGGTCGGTCGGGGCGATATCCTCCGGCTCGTTCCGCGTCGAAGCCGGGCGAAAAACCGGACCCGGGTCCCAGTCGGCGGTCTTTTTCCGCAGCCGAATCATCCCCGACCGAAATTCATCGCGAGAGGAAGTTAGGTTTAACGGCGGACATTGTACGAGACCGACGGACGGGCGTGCTTAATGCGAATCGTATCCGGCCGAGCGAGCGCATTCACGAGACACGTCAATTACACCGCGCGGCCGACGGGACGCGAGCGTGCGTGTGCGCGTACACGCGGGCAGAAGCGCGAGCGAGGCACGCTCCTGCGCGCTCACGCGTGCGCCGGCTCCGCTCCGGAAACGATTTGATTTTCGTCATTTTTATCATCGACTGCCCCCGTAATCGAACGCGGACGCCTCGACGGCTCGTCTCCGTCCGGGCGCCGCGGGGGGTGGCCGGGAATTCGGAGGCGCGGGGTGGCACCGGAAGCGGAAGCGTCACGGCTCCCGCCCGAGCAAAAATGGCGGCGGGGCCGGATCGAATCGGTTCGAGTCGTAGGAGGGAATCGATTCCGAACACTCGCGGAACTCGTCGCCTTCCGCTCCCGGGGCCGCGGTTCTTCTCCACACTTGCCGACCGATTAATCCCGGTAATTGACTCGGTCGCCGAGGGGAAAGAACGGGGACGTCCGTTTCTCCGCCGAGAAACGACCCGAGGTTCGAAAAAATCGAATTCCCGGACGGGTCGATCGCGCGTCCGTAGAAGATATTTATCGTTCGATCTCTCGATCGCGCGACCGACGGCCGGTGTCGCTTTAATTAGACGCGCGGCGGAATCACGGGGATAAATCTCGAGGCGTTTAGCGCGCGCGGGGGCCGGCGGGCTTAAAGGGTTAATCCCGAGCGGCTCGGCGCGTCTCTCGTCGCCGGGACGACGGGCGTCGTCGTGGGAAGCCGTGGTCGAGGGGGTCGCCGGGGAGGCGCGTGCGAGGCCGCTATCTGCGGCCCTGCACGCGCCCGGGGCCGCGCCAAATGCGTTTTTCGTTAAACGCGGCCCGATGCGCCGGGAGATAAGGGCCGATCGTGCCGGAGGGATCGCATCGTGGGGTGGCAGCCTCTATATGCCCGCCGGCAACTGCTCATTTATTAGGATTTCACGCCGTGATCCTGTTACCGCTCTCATTTTACGGGGATTATATTATTGTGCAGTCCCGTCGAGGCCGAGGCCGGCCCTCCGCGTTCCCTCGGAAACCGGGAGAAGAAAGGACACCTCCGGGTGACTTTTGCTCGAGAGTAGAACGATTTCGACGACGGTTTCCAAATGACCGATCCATTGAAAATCGAGGCACGCGTGGAGGAGGGGGTTTATTCGAGGACGATCGTCCCGTTCTTTCTCGGCGCGACGATCCTCGACTCCTGGTCGCGTTGGTCCAGATTCTCGAACGACCCGGTAAATGCGTTCTCTCGCTCTTAAACGTTATCTCTCGATGAATTGCGCGACGCCAGGGGTTCTCCCATCGAGGGTGACGAGTGTTCCCGGATGCGTTGGGGCGCTCTCGATCCGTATCCGACGTGGCGATCACTTGCGAGCTTCGTTTCGTTTGTAAAGGAGCGCGAACATTACCATATAGAACCAAAGGACCACCACGTGTTTGCAGAACGTGAAATATTTATGAAGTAATTTCGTAAAGACCCGGAGTCTGGTATCGCTCGACGACTCGACGTTCTGGAACAGAAATGGGAGAAGTGCAGGCCCTCTGGCGCGATCGCGAAGATTCGCCGCGGTGGCTCGTCCATTTTTTGCCGAACGCGTTCCGACGCCGGCGACTCCCGTTTTGCCCTGCTCGAAATCGTCCCCGACTCGGGTTCGGAACGGAACGAAGGGAAAAGTTGGGGACAAATCGAGAGTCCCGGCATAATTCCGAGGGTTGATTCGTCTCGCTCACCTCGACGAGTTCCGCTCCCAGGAAGGTGGACACCTTCTCCTCCAGGGGTGGGCCCTCCACCTCGAAGGGGCCGACCTGGCCCTTGACTCCTCGCAGCGGTATCGGCTGGTTCGCTTTGCCATCCTTGACCGTCAGGGGCCTTTTGTCCGCCGAGGTCGTCGGCGTCGAAATCGCCGAGCTCAACGCCGCGTCGCCGTCCATCCGAGGCTCGCCCTCTTCTGCAAGGGTCGGATTAACGTTTCCGATAATTTCTCCTCCCTTCCGGTATTCCTCTCGAGGGTCGAGGGGAAACGTTAAACGTTCGCGAAAAATTAATTTTGAGTCTTCGAAAAAATCAAGGTTACTTTTTTACCCAATTTTTATCCGAGGTGTCACATTTTTGTTTCCGCCGAAACTCTTTTTTATTTCCGCACTTTTTTGTCTCCGAGTACGGACGACGCGAGAATTTCGGACCGGTACGACAGGTTGACACGAATCGCGAACACCGCGATCGATCGCCGGTCGCAATTGATTCCGGTCGCTTTAAGTACGTTTCTCGAACGACTTAATTCCACGGAGGATTTATCGCTATTCAAAAAGTCGATAAATAAAGGACGCGAGGTATCGATTTCCAGCTAAACGCGGACTATTTATGACACCGATATCGAAGAGGAGTAAAAGAGCGAAGGAGAGAAGGAGCGAGAGGAGGGCGGGCAAAGTGGGGCGAAGGGAAAAGAGAAAAAGCCGGCACTACTCGCTAAGTTGTGGAAAACAACGCTTAAAATATAAAACCCCGAGAACCCTTCTCGAGGCTTTCTTCAGGGTTGGCAGTTCTTCACGGTTAACGCCCCTAATCGTATTCATTAAAGTGCTCTCAATGCTTTTACACGGTACCCACCCTCCTCCCTCTCCGCCCTCCCCTCCGCCCCTCTCTCTCCGTCTCTCGCTTTCTCCCGGCACCTTTCCTCCTTCGCGTCGACTTTTCCGCAGAGGGCTTTTAACTTGGCAACAATGCGCGGATTTATAAACCCCCTCATTGTTATCACGAGTGATCGAGGCAGCCGGGCCGACACTGGCCGAATACCAACCATCGGTTACCCCATTGTTGACCCCTTTATCTTGGAAATTCGCCTTTCGACCGGGCGCGGATTTGCTAAATGACTCGGTTTTATTGATGGATTCGTAGAAACGTCCTGACCATGCTCGGACTTGGCGCGATAAGGACCATTGTGTCCGGCTACCTTTTCACGGGAAACTTCGCGAATCACCGTCGCTCGGTTCACCTCACCGAGCGAATTCCGATCGCGCCCCGGAAGGGAGGGCAGCCGAGAGGGCCATCTCGCGTCGAGGGAAACGTCCCTCTCTCGTTTGCGGGGACGGAGGGATTCGTTAACGGACGCGAATTTATCGACGGATCAGAAAAATGCCTGAACCTCGTCCGATAAGGAGCGCTTTACCGCCGTTCCGCGGTGTAATCCCCCCGGCGAGGAAATATGGTGTCTCGTTGATAAAGCGTATTTCGATAGCGCCTACATCCGAAATAAATAGCTCGATTACCGAGATCGAACTTTCCGCGTGGACCGTGATTACTCTTGCGGCTAAGCGCTCGGGCTCGTTTATTTCATGGTCGAGAATCGGGGGCTGTTTAGACGCTCCCCCGAAAAGCCCGTAATTCCTTTTTCGGGTACTCGTCGGAAATATCGCCGACGGACAAAAAATCTCCCCATAAGGCGCGCTCGTTCGAGCGCGATCGCTTCGAATGCGTAACGACGGTATACGACGTTACCATGCGTGGAAACGAAATTAATACGAGACCCGTCGCCGACGCCGCGCACAATGACGGACCGTGAATATCCCGGTTGACTCGGCCCGTTTTCCTTCCCATGACGTCCCGCTAATCGGATCGTCCCTCCACCCGGACCGGCTCGCCCGAGCCCCCCGGTCGGGGTCGCCGCGCCCATTAACTATTCCCGCGACGAAGCGCACCAGGACCTCTCGATCGCTATCCGTTTCCGCCACCGCAAACGTTGACTCGATCCGCAAACTCGAAGAGCCGCCAAAGGCACGCGCGGGCACCCCGGAGATGAACGAGGCGCGATAGGATCGTCCCTGCATCCCCCAGGACCCGGTGCCCGCCCCTCCGGCTTCTCGATGACACCCCTCGCGCGGGGACCGCCGCCCTCGAGAGCGAGCTCGCTATTCACGCGAGCCGTAATTATTCTGCCGACCGAGTCCCACATTTTTCCCAGCTCGCGTCCCGAGGACCCGACGACCCTCGACCCCGCCCGCGATCGGAGGCGTCCCATCCCGGACGACCGGTGCATAATTCAGGAGGATCCTCGCCGACGGTCCCGGGCGGTCTCGGGCGGTCCCGGACGGCAGCCGGCACGTCCGCGTAAATAAGCGAGCCTTTTTTGTACAATATGTTGCGGGACCATTACTTAGTTGCCGCGGGGCGCGACGCCGGACGGGGGGCTCTTACCTAAATAACCACTCAGTCACTCCACGCCCGCGCCAGAAGGGGTGGGCGGCCGATACCGTTAGGTGATGTAAGAGCAACCGAGTATCCGGAAACCTCCGGCCCTCTCTCTTTCTCCCTTTTCCGCCTCGCCCCTCCCGTCCTCCGCCGTGCCGCCGAGGCGAGAACCCGTCCCACCCGCGGATTAACGAGGCCATTCCCGGATTGATTTCTCGACGGGGTCTCGGGGGACTCGCCGGGACTTTCCCTCGTCGAGGAGGGCCCGAACGCCCGGGGCCACCCTGGCGAGAGGTTCGCCTCGGACGAGGGTCGGCAGAAATCTCGGGGCACCCGGAGAAACGGACGGAGCGGTAGGCGAGGCACGTAATGGCGTGTCGGAGTTAACCGGTTGATAACCATCGGTTATAATTAACTCGGGCCAACCAGCGAACGAGCCAACCCCGGCAACCACCCGGCAACCACCCGGCCGTCCCCCCTCGGCCCTCCGCCGCGCGTTCCCGACGGCGCTCGGGCGCGGAAACCGCCGCGTCTGGAATTTCCATCTCGTCGATTCGAGACCGCGCTCGACTTCGGGGCGAAAAGCGCCCCGGCCGGTCGCGATTTTCTCACCGTGTCTCCTCCGGATAATCCCCATTGTCGGGCGACATAAGCCCATAATGGATCGGCCCGATCCGGAGCGTATACGCTGCGCGAACACGCGGCGGACCGGAGTGGCGGCCCTACCCCCGGCCCCCGGCCCCCGGCCCCCGGTGACTCCTCCGCCAGCGCCAACCCTGCCCGCCCCTGCCGGACTGCGGACTGCGGACTGCGAGAGCGGGATTTCCGAGCCGTTATGCAACTAAGCCCCCCTCGAATGCAGGCTCGGCTAAGTACGGTTAAACGAGACCCGCCCGATATTATCGCGAGATGCTATCGATGGATTTCGGCCGTCATTAGCCGTCGCGCGCACCCCAGGCGACCCGGGAACGCCGCTCGATAGGGATCTCGGCGGGAATCGATGTCTCTTCCTTTCGGGACCCCCCGCCTCGGACGGTCGATTCCCGATTTTTGACACCTCCTGCGAAACCGGCGGCTCCCTTGGGAACGAGGTTCCGGGCACTCTCCTCGGAGAGCGAAACGAAGAGGTCCGATCCCAATCACTTTTCCGCCGGGCCGATCCACTAATTCCCGCTAAGCGGGACAAATGTTTTCGTGGGTAGCGGATGGCGTCGGCGCCGGGGTGCGCAATCATCGCTAAGTCTTTTAATTTCCTATATCGGGGGTGGCTCGCGCGCGAGGGTTGCACGCGGGTGGTAATTGGCTGTCAGGGCTTCCCAGTCCTACCGGCCGACCGACCGACCAACAACCCCGAGAGATTGGTATCGCTTATAATTAACTTCTCCGTGCCACGAAGTCGCCGTTTCCATCGGCGTCGCGGAGAAGAGGGGCCGCGCGTCGGCGCGATCGCGGCCGTCGTCCCCTCCTCGAGGAAACGCGAGCTCTTTCCCGCGGCGGACGCGATCGCCTCCGCCGGGAGAATCCTCGACTTTTAAGGCGCTACGATAGAGTCCTTCCCGTGTATCAAAAAGTAGAAAACTTTTCTCCAAACTGGGCACAGCGAAGAAGTTGAAATTTTAACTCGTGATCACGGAGGTCCCAAGGTCTTGAAACTCACAAAATTTCGTTTTTCGAAAAATAATCACATTCCGCGAGTTTCAAGATCTTCGTCAGGACCCGCCGAAAAATTTCGGATTACTCGGTGCACCCGGTTTGCAGAGGTTTTATACACATTTCGACTCTTTGATACGTATATGTGACTTTCGTAACACCTTAAGGGGTTGGCCGTTTAAGCGATTCCCGCGGCTCCACGAAGACTTCTCCCGAGTCCGGAAGAAGCGGCAAGGGGGTCCACGTCGCGACGTTCGGGGAAGGACGTCCTCCCTTTCCTCCACCTGGCCGGGTGCAGCGCGCGGAGTCACCCGGGGAAGCTCCGACAAGTGGCGTCCGGACGCGCCTCCCGAGTCCCTGCCGAGGGCGCGGCTCGAAACGTATCCACTTTGCGGGGAATCCTTAACTTTTAAAAAGCCTACTATTTGAGCGACTCCGCGATAGGGCGGAGTGCTCGAGGAGTCGGGCCGAAGGGGGAAGGAATCGCGGAGAGGGAGGATCTTGCGGGCGCAGGATCGCGGTCGCCCCGCGTGCGGCGGGAGAGAGCGCGACAGCGGCGCGAAGAAAAGCTCTTTGAGGGCGAAGGATGCGGAGGCTGCGGAGGCTCCGCGCGGGTCGAGGGGTCGCCGAGGGACCGGGAGGGGCCGCGCCGCCCCGCGCCGCGGCGGAGGGAGGTCCTCTGAAGTCTAAGTAACATCCATTTCCACCCCTCGCCCCGTCACCCACCCCTTTTACTTTGCTTTACCTTCCTATACTTTACTTACTACCTCTGCCCACTTTTTATTTGCAATCCTACTTCTTTCCGGGGCTCGCACCTCTCCCCCAGTGGTTCTCCGTCCATCTCCTCGAATAATTTTCCTGATTTTCCGGATCCGTTTCTCGATCGAAAGACGGAAATTTCCACTTTCGCGACGCGACGCCTCGGACCCTCGATTTTCGGCATCGAGACCATCGATCGTCCGATCGATCCGACGAGACGTTCCGGAGAGGCCGGCGGTCGGAAGCGGACGGAAGCGGAGGTGCGAGTCAGCGAACGGCGGACGACGCCGGTAAATTTCGCTGGCAAAGCCGGCGGGCGACGCGGGGCATATCGGTAGCCCTCTTGGTAACTAGTTTCCGTGCGGGTCGCTCCAATTAACGTTTCCACGTACGGCACCTCGGCGAGCCGACCGACTCCTTCGCGCGGCCGCGCCGCGCGGCCTTACCCCTCGCGGAAACTTATAATTGCGAAAGGAGCCGGCAATTATAATTGCGCGCGGTCCGCCCGCAGCCGTAATTATCCCAAAAACCGTCCCGACCGTAACGAGGAGCGGCGAGAACCCTCTTGGACTCGAATCGGGACTTCCGTCTCCGAGGGAAGGAAGATCCGCCGTCTCATTCGGCGTTTGCTCTCCTTCGCGGGCTCCTCGTTACGGTTCCCAGCAACCTCCGCCCGGTCGCGATCTCGTCGATCGTCGTCGAGAATCTCGGGAACCTCGGGAACCTCGGGAACCTCGGGAATCCAGAGAACGAGCACGATCGCGCCGAGGTCGCCTCGACTCGCCAGGGAAGGGCGCTTCCTCCGCGTCCGCGTCTACTCGGCGGCAAATCGATTATTTAAATGCGCCGCGCGCTCGCGGAGTACTCGGGCACACAAAGAACGGCGCGCGAGGGGTCGACCGAGGGGTCGACCGAGGGGCCGACCGAGGGGCCGACCCAGGGGCCGGGGCGGGCGGCGAGGAGAGAGCCAAGACTCCGGCCAATTAAGCGCAGGAAATTAGAGTTTTAATTACGTAGTCATTCAGAAAATTACATCGGGGCCGCGAAGGAGGCGTCGCGACGCCGATCGGCCGTCGAGACGTTCTTCCGCGAGTCCCCGAATCGATGCCGCGCCGATCCGCTCGCGGGTCGGAGAGCGACGCGCGGAACCGACGCCGGACGGGTTAAATCTAATTACATGGTCCGGGACGGCTGCCCGATGGGCGCTCGTCGACTCCCGATTAGCCCGGCGGTCGTTCCGCGCGTCCCTGCCCGCTCGCGGCGGACGCGAGTCCTTCCCGCGAATCCGGCCGCGTTCCGGCCGCGTTCCGGACCCTCTCGATCGATCGCGGCACCTCGGGAGAACGAGCCAAGACGCATTCGCTAATTGTCTCGCACCTGCCGAAGCCCGCGTCGGGAGTTCCCGGGATTCCTGGGGGAGCGAGCGAGCGCGACGCGGGCGCGGGGGGAGGGGACGGCGGAGGGTGATAAAGCGAAAAAGAAGCGCGACGAAACGAGCGAAACACAGGAAAGCGTTCCGCAGGCTCATTCGCAGCGTGCATTAACGAGCGACGGGGAGAACGGCTCCGAGTCGCGCAGGTGGGGCGGGGAGCGACCGAGGGGAAAAAATCGTCCCCCGGCATAATGGAGAGCGTTAATTCTCCAAATGAAAACGAGACATCCATCTTTGGCGAAGCGCTCGGTGCGCATTAGAGTAATGAATTAATTTCCATCCGAGGTTCCTCTCCTCTCGCCGCGAGTTTCGACCCCGGTTTCTCGATCGTCCGGCGGCAAACAGTCGCCGACTCGCGGTTCTTTCCGCCGCGGGAAGGGGGACGCTTTCGGTCGGCCCGAAGGGACCCGGCTCGAAATCCAGAAGGCTCGTTAACATATTCATGGGATTATGGGGACAATTAATCCTTTGAGGGACAGTTTAATTACAGAAGCGATTAAACATCTTAACATATAAACGCACTCGACTCCGAAGGCATGCGAAACGCGAGGTGGCAGTGCGCGGCTTCCAATTAACATACTAATAACGCGTTGCCGCCGCGGCTCGGCTCGACTCGGCTCGGCTCGGCTCGGCTCGGATCGAGTTCGCGTTCCCGTAAACCCGAGTTTACGCGAGACTTCGTCGTCGCGATCCGTCTCGACTCGAAAGAGCACCGCGTTTATCTTAACGCGTTTAACGTTCAAATATTTATTAAATTTTTTTCCAAACCGGTTCATCGAATAATTTGAGACTTTAACCCGTGATCGCGGAAGGGCTAACGAAGGACTCGAAACTAGCGAGATTTCATTTTTCGTCCGGCCCGAAGAAGAATAAAAAAATTCTTTTCTAAATGAAATTTTGTGAGTTTTTAGGCCTTTATTGGAACCTCCGTAATCACGGGTTAAAGATTAAAACGAGTCGGAGCGTCCAGTTTGGTAAATATTTTGACGGTTAGAAGCATATGGAATGTTGCTCGGGAGCGAACGAGCGCGTTCCGTGGCCGAGACGTCGGGTTTAACGAGATTCTAACATTGTAAGAATTCGATTTTGGCCGCGGCGCTTCGCGTCGGCGCGAGTCGTCCGCTCGCCGCCAAATAGCGCGCGACGGAATTAACGCGAGCGGGATTCGATTAATACGCCTCGCACTGGCCGCAAATATCTCGGGGCGGAGGGCACCCCGAAAACCGGGGGCTCGTCGCGCCTCGTTCGATCAGCCGCTCGGAATGCTCGGGCCATTAACGCAATTCCGCTCGTCCCTCGCTGCGGGCCGAGCGGAAGGGACGCGGAGGTGGGAGATAGAATTACCTTTCGAAGTCCTCCGGCGAGATGCGGAGATTTCGTGACGATCGGGTCCGGAGACGTCGAAGGCTCGATCCGTGTGGTTCGCCGAAAAACAATGCGACGGCGGCGCGACTAACGGCTCTCGGAGGACAAAAGACGGGACACGCCCTTTTCCGAAAAATTCGTCGAAGCCGTTGCGTCGGTTACGGCGGTCCGACGATCCGGCGTTCAATTCCTGGCGAAGTTTCTGGAAGATTGGACGGAGACCGGAACCACTCGAGACGGTGCATCCGTGGAATGCTCAGGTGGAATCGTCCCTCCGTATATTTCTGACCCATCCGACTCGGTTGCCCACTTCCATTGCATGTTTCCGGCTCGCGACGTGTTCCCATCTCCGACCGAGTTAATCTTCCTCTTGGACGAGAGAGGTTAGTCACTTGTCGTCCGTCGCTGGGAATTGTCGAGAAACGGATGTATTTGGCCTCGAGTCCGCGGGCGAGCGGCTCTCCGCGCCGGTTTCGGCCGCTATCCTTCCTCTTCGTTCGCGATATCGCGCCGATCGGGAAAAATGGCGCTTCGTTAACGATAAAATCATCTCGACTCCTGCGGCCTCGAGAACGGAAGGGTTCCTTTCGGTTTCCGCGAACGAGGCGGCAACCGCCGGTAAACTGCCGAAAAGAAGAACGTTCGAGAAACGAGGGCGTCGCGCCGAACTCGAAAACGGAAAATCGCCGACGGTCGATCGGTCGACTCCGGACTCGGTCGACCTCGAGATCGTTCCCGTCCGATCGGAATCGGGCCGAGTCGTCGGCCCTTCCCCGCCGCGCTCCCACCCCTCCCCACGGCGCACGCGCCGCGCTTCGAGTGACGTCACGGCCGGAGTGCGCCGTCGGTTGGCGCGCTCATTCCGAGTCGGACCGCCGCCACGGTCGCACGTCCATCGCGCACCTCGCCGGCCCCCCGCGAACTCGTCCACCCAGCCTCGCGCCGCGCGATGCCGACGCGAGTCCTGTCCCGACAGGCAGCGAGCGCGCAGTGACTCGAGCGCGGACCACGTGACCGCGAGTGCCGGTGCCACCTGCGAGTGACGGTGACCTTGGCGCTCCGTGGCGCCTCTTCGGCTGCGCCCGCCCCGGCAGGTAGAGGAGGACGTCGCCGCCCGTCGCAGCCCGTCGCAACTCGTCGCAGCCCGGAGGATGGGACCGGTGCGCGCGCGCTAGCCGCGCAGCGTCTCCTGGAAAGGTACTGGCATCGAATTTCGTTTCGACGACGGTCGGAGGACTCACCGCGGCAATTTCGGAAAATCGATGTCCCGGGGTGGATTACGCTCCACCGGGCTCCGCGCGGTTAATCGAATCCGCCGACGCGACTGCGAGGGACCGACGGGACGCGACGCAATCTTCTCGCGACCCTTCCCCCTCCCCTGGAAGCGGTTTCGATTACGGGAGCGAAGTCTCGCGGTCCTTTCCGCCGGCTGCCGGTGTCTTTCGACCCGACCGCGGTAGTTCTCGCGATCGGGCTAATTCGGGCGGAATTCGTTTCCACTCTCCGGTCGAGGGCGCGACGAGACCGTTTAAAGTTCCTCGAGAGCGGACGATGGCGTTAAAGCGCGAGGTCCGAGTCGTGGCATAAAATGGGCCGGGACGGGATCGTCGGCGTAAAATTGAATTCCGCCGAACGACCGGCGAACGACCGGCGAACGACCGGCGAACGACTCCGGCACGGCGAGTTAAATCTACGCGCAACGACGCAGCGCGGGGCGCGTCGGACGTTTTCGAGACGAGAGCAGCACAATTAGGCGTTTACGTAAGGGCGGCGCGCTAATGCGCCCGGCGAAGTCTCGCAATTAGGACCGCCTTAATTGCCTCGGCGAGCGATGACCGTTGTAATTGCCTCGCAAAGGTAAAGCGGCCCGCGGCCGGCGTCGCCCGAGTCGCCGTTCGGCCGATCCTAATGACCCAAGGCCACCCCGTAATTAACGTATTTTAATTTATCGTCAAACCGTTAATTGCGCCGGCCGGCCGGGGAGGGGGGGGGGGGGGCGTCGACGCCGGGAACAAAGTCCCGCGTCCCGAGATCTCCCATCGACGCGTTATAAAGCGCCGGGGCACGGGAGAAATTATCAGAGCGCGATAAAGGCCGCTTTGCCTTTTACCGATCTCCGGTATTGCCCCGTCCCTCGCCCTCCTTCCTCTCTCCGTTTCACGGCGAACTAATTGACCCGGGCCCCGAGTGCAATTTCGCGGATTAATTCGTCATGAATCGACGCGCTCGCTGGGAAATCGGTCGAGTGGCCCCCTGCCCCCGTTTCCCCTCCTCCTCCCTCCCCGGCCCCGGCGGGAGCCGTATCGCTCGGTCGAAGCCTTGATTAGAATCCGATTGTGATTCCAATTAACGAAGCGATCCGGCGTCTTCCCCGGGGCGGACGGCACCCCCGGGAGGGGGTTAATCAGCGTTTCCAAGGCGCGCCGCCCCCGGAATCGGTTTCTTCCTCGGCGGAAGTCGATCTCTCGGCCGGAAGCGGACCCAGGCGATCCCCCAAATGAAATCCCGAAATTAAAGCCGTATATTAACCCCGCGGCGTCTCCTAAATTAAAAAACAACATTTTACGGCGGAGCCGAGGCCATCCGAGGAACCGGCTATAACCTTATACGCCGCGCCCAGGGTTACCGGACGCTACCGCCGTTCTATTGTCCGTAAATTGCGTTTTTAAATTCGTCGGGGGTTGGGGCGCGTGGCCCGGCCGGCGCGCTTCCGAACCCTCGACGGCCGACGGCCGACGGCGCGCCGACGCGCCGAGCTCGTGTCTTGGCGGCGGCGCGGGATCGCGAATTAGGAACCGAGGAGACTCGCGGGGGCGATCGTCGGGGAGAACGGGCGGAGCGACCCGGCCGACGAGGTTCGGAAATGCGCGAGTCGCATCGGGTAAGGGTGTATAATGGAAGTTGAAATTGGTTGGGCCTGTCCCGCCTGGGCAAGCACCCGTACGAGCTATCGAGGGAAACGCATTCCATGCCGAAATTGCTTCGCACTGCGATCCAACGGGATACAAGGTTCTGGTTTGAGGTTAGGTTTCCGCGTCAAAAAATACGCGGCTAAGCTGACGCGCGAGGCGTTGATTAAAACCGCCCTTCCTCCGCGCGCGCGTGCGCTTTGCCGAGGGAGAGAGACGCGCGATCGGCGGAGGGAGCGAGAGGAGCGGGTGGGGGTGGGCCAAGGCGTTGCTTGCTTAATTACTAAAAGCTAATCAATTCCAGAGGAAGTAAAGTTTAAATTGCAAACTAAAGTATAGCTTCCCGACGTAACCTGCAAAGCGATATTACCGCTCGCTGCATTCTGCAATTAGCCCCGGTAAATCATTGAAAACAAATTATGGACGCGGCCGGCGCGCGGCACGGGGGTGGAACCGGGGTGGAACCGGGGTGGAACCGGGGTGGAACCGGGGGGAACGGGCACGAGGGCGGCTCGCTCGCCGCTTATGAAAATCGATTCCCTCCCCGTTAAAGGGTCGAAATCCTCGCGATTTTCATCAACTCGGCCCCGTAGCGAGCGGCCGCTACTTTTCGCGTGATTCGGCCTCTCTCGCTGATTGCGGATTTAGCCGGTTCCTTCCTTGTCGCGGCGGCTCCTCCGCAGGGACCGAATCCCGGATCGATGGGAAACGCTCACCGGCGCGCCCGTTGTTCCTCGGGCGCGTCTACGTCGCCCGAATTTTTCTCCGGCCGATCTGCGCGCGATTAGCCGACTTTTGGGCCGCGTCCGAATTTCTAGTTAAGACGTCCAAGCGGACTTCCGTCATCGTTGCCGCGTAATTTCTCGTTCTCGCGTTGGCCCGTTCAATTATCATCCGACCGAATGGCAGCTCGAAACTCGTTCGGCCAATACCGGGGACCGATCGGTGCGTCGGAAATCCGATACTTTACGACCGCCACCACAAAATGTCCGGGTCGAATGCCTCCAGTCTCCTTTGAATCCCGTCCTCTTTCGTTTACTCGCGGGACCGTGCCTTTAAGAAAAATGTACGGGGTTAAACGTTCACCCACCGGATTCCGGACGAGAGGATTTCGAATTCTATCGCGGTATTAATTTCGGTACGACGGCATTTCAACGGACCAAGATGGCCGTCTCGCGGGGGGTCCGTTTCCGTCGCACCATCTGCCAGGAGAGCGCTCCGACGAAACAAGCGATAAAATCGATGTCGTTACCGTGCGATTCAATTCGCAAGACGCATTGCACAATTTCACATACAATTTTACGGGAGAACGGTCAGGACTCCTATTTACTTCATAGGTCTCTTAAATCCCCTGAAACGCCGTTGTACAATAATATCGCCCCGAGATCGATGCGTCCTCTTTCCTTCTCGCCCTCCCCGCTCGCTGGAAATAGAGAGTCGCGAGCCACGGGGGCAACGTACCCCTCGGACGATCGCGGAAAGTAGGATTTTTTTTTTTTCTATCGATATTTAAGAAAAAGAGGGCGGCCGCTCGATCGGTATCTCGGGGAAGACGTCGTTAAAACCGATGCCTCTCTTCCTTGCGGAATTTTGGAGAAGACGGCGGGGGTCAGGGACGCGAGCCGAGCGGGGGCGGTCGGAAGGGGACAGCCGTGCCAACCGCGGCGGTGGCTGCCTCTAATGTGATTGGTTTACTGCCCCCGGAGAAGCCAAGACTTATACCCCGGCAAAATGGAATTAGTTTTTCGCAATTTCGAGCAGTCCATCGTTCTAAGTGGGTCGACGGCGGCCGGATACATTATTTTCGTCGGTCCGAAAGCGGTCCGATCGATCGAGTAGTCCGGTTTCTCGTTCCCCGTTGGACGCCGCGCGAGATGTCGGCTCCCGGTCGTTCCCGTCGTTCCCGAGAAACGGCTCATTTACCGAGATTCTTCGGTTTCAGGAATAGTCGAGGAGCACCGATCGCGATCACCGCCGGAGTGCCGGCGAAATATGTGCACGCGCCGCCCCTGCCCGCGCGCATCCATTGTGGCCCCACGTGGCGCAAAGCCGCCTGTTTTTGCCCATCCGATTAATACCGTGAGTAATTAAATTTTAATCCGAGTCATCGACGCGTGGCGAATATATCGAGTCGATCCGATTCCGGCGAGGGGCGGGCGGGGGACGCGGCTCGTGCGTTAAATCGAATTAGAAGCGCAGATCCTACGTTACTTTATTTCGAATCGCCCGCTTCTTGCTCGAGGATGCCCCGTGAATTTTAACCATCGGAATCGACGAATCGAGAGCACCCCGTCCGCGTTTAAGCCGCAAAAGTTCCGCGGTAGATCTGGCCGAAGTCTTGCCTCCGAGCCTTACGCGGCCGTCGATTCCGCCGGCACTTAACCTCCGACGATTACGCCGCGTCCATATTTAGCGGCGGCATATTTACGCTGGATCGGCCGGTAAAGCGCGCACGAAAGTATCCGCGTCTCTCCCGCCCTTTGCCGTCCCCTCCTCCCCGCATTACGTGACGTTCGTTTATCGATGATAACGGTGTTAACAAGTTTGTTAGTCAGTCGCGACGCGCTAATGAAACGGAAGAGGGTGGAGGGGGCGAGGAGGGAGGAGCGGAAGGTTATCGATCTAATATCGACGCGTTAATTTGCGCGCGGCGCGCGCGAGCCGGAGCGGCGTTGCATGCGCGAGGGCAATTAAAAGACGCCCCGAGAAACTCGTTTTAAACTCGCTGCGAGGACTAGGCCAATCGGATCGATCCTCCTCCGACCCTCGAGATTTGCGCGCTTCCGGGGGGATTTCGACCTCGAAATTTGGGCGAAGAAGGAAAAGAAAATAATCGGGGAAACGGAGGCGACCGGATCGGCGCCCCGACGCCCCTCCGATCGACTCGAAGCGATCGATCGAGCGCGCGCGGCGCGACCCGGGAGCCCGAGAGGGGAGGCGCGAGGAACTCGCCGAGAAGTTTACGCTGTTAAAAATTTATAGGTTAGATGGATCTCCCTCCCCATATCCCGTCGGCAGGCTAGTCCGCCGTATATACCTTTACGAAAGTAATATCAATTTCAGTAAATGGAAAAAGTATCAAGATGCCGGCCGTCCCCGCCCCACCCCGCCTCGCCTCCGCCCCCCGAGCCTCCGCCCGACCGATCCGGGACGCCGGACGCCGGACGCGATCGGCGAATTTATCGACCGATTGGCGTCGCGCGACGGAATTAGCGAAACCAAGGTCCGTCTTGATCTGGCCCCCCGTGGGATCGAGGATCGCCGAGAATTACTTTGCGGAATCGGCCGGGCCGAGTCCTGCCTCGTTAGAGCCGCGCGCGGCCGGCGGCCGGTTGCCGGCCCCGATCGCGGAGTGCGGGGTGCGGCGCGTTTCAGGGGAATTGGATTTTTAATCGGCGCTCACTCGCCGGAAAATAGCCACTTCGCCCTCGCCACGGCGCGTCTATAAATGCCCGACCACTTGTTTCCGGGCGCGGAGCCGGAATCCGGGAGCGGACGCCGTCGTCGCGACGCTCCGCCGGTCGATCGCGGGAGGAGCTCCCTCGGCGCCCCGGCGGGCGGCAAGGGAGACGTCCGACGCGAAGGGATCGAAGATCGATTTCGCCCGGAGAAAGGAGAAAGGAGTCTCTCTCTCTCTCTCTCTCGCGTGCGCTTTCGCTCCACCCGACCCCAACGACGCCCGCCCCGCCGAGCGACGCGTAAATAAATAGACCGCACGGCCGTCCCATTTGCTAGATTAGAATCAAATATAATTTTCCGTCGCGATCGCCCTCTAATATCGGCCGGTGTCGTCGGGAGAGCCGACAATGCCGGGACGCCCTCCAGGACGGCGTTCGTTAATTAGAAACTCCCGGCATTTCGAGGCCGCCCGAGGATCTTGCACACCGGGTGGCCGCGAATCTCCGTCCGGCTCTTTCGACCAGACGGTCGCGATTTCGGTGCTTACCGGTTCGCTCGTTCCGCTTTAAAGGGAAACGACGTTTATTCCCCGAATCCGCTCGCGAGGACAAAGACACTTTGGGTCGCGCGGCGCGATGCGACGCAAAATGTCCCGCGGCGCGTCGAACGAATACCCGACTCCTGAATTACGGGGGACGGGGGGGGGGGGGGAAATGTTGCAGAAATAAAGTGGCGCGAGCTCGAATTCCCCGGCGTGGCTTTGGCGCGCGGGTTCCGATGGGTACTTTTTTTTTTTTCTTTAACGGCCGGTCAAAATAACCGTTCAACGATTTCGGATCCTTCGCGGAGGAAAATCGGCGAAAAGTTCGAGCCGGACGAGCGGGAAATAATCCGCGAGGTCGCGCGACTCGCGGCGAGGGGCTGCGGGGCGCGGAGAAGACATTTTATCGGGGGAGTTTTTCTTCGATACTCGCGGAGCGCGTCGGCTCGCTTTCTCGTTAAAGGAATTCTTAGGTTTAATTAAAATTTCCCGAACGGAAGTAAAAAGTAATTATAAAATTTTATTATGGGTTATTTTATTGCCGGTCCGGGGAGACGCGGCGCCGGGGCCGCGGGGCGGTCGCGGCCTCGCGAGATTAAGCGATAAATTGTTTTTACTAATTTTCTAATTACCAACTCCCCGTTCCGTTTTTCTCTCCCCCCTTTTCGCCCGCCGTCACGCTAGCCGGGCGTCGGACTCGAACGATCCAACTCCGCGACGCCCGCCAACTTTCCGCAAAGTGGACTCTCGCCTCCCGTTCTTTACCTTCCGCTACTTTGCTCCCTTTTTCGCGCTCCTCTTCTTGCCCCGAGCGAGCGATGTCGTCGTCGCGGAAGGCCCCCGACGCCCCGGACTCGAAAACGCGGCGGTCCGGTCGAAGGTGCGAGTCGACCGAACCGAGAAGTGCTCGACGAGGCTAACGCAACGGCGCCCAACGGCCAGGGCACGGGTAAACGACCCGGGGCACTTTTTCCTTGCCATTTGTTCGAGCGACGACCGTATGTTCGACTTTCGAGATCGCCCGGCCGCGTGGACTTATGTAAATCGGGGTACACGGACCGAGGTGGAACGGTCGCCATATGGGAAGGGGAACGCCCTTAACCTTCGAGTTTGGCGATTCCGAAGGCACTCCGAGATCGCCTCGGAGGGGAACGATCGGCGCGCGTCCACCGGGACGATGATAATCCCCGTTGACGTCGGCGCCCGACTAAAAGCAATATCGCCGTCACGCCGCGATTATTATGAGAGGGTAATCGGATTATCGATCACGCGGGGAGATTGAAAAAGCCGTATCCATCCGATTACGGCGGAATCGTATCGGAATCCGGGCGCACCGTCCACCCGCTCACTTATCGAAACGATTAGCGCCTCGTCGCGTTAACGGCGACGAGCCTTTCGTTACCCCCCGCCGTGTATCGAGGATCGCGACCCCCGGTCGCTTCTCCGAAGTGTCCCAAAATCGTCGAGCGTCGACGGAAGGTAAAGTCAATTTCGGCGTCGGCGCGATACGGTTAATTTCGCCGAACGGAACGACGGCGCCCCGTGCGAGATTCGGCCAACTCGCGAACTAATTTCCTCGCGAAATTAATCCGCCCGAAAGACCCGGCGGCTCCTGAAATAACGAGCACGAGGGGGCCCATTCGCCGAGGATCGAAAGAGAACCGGCCGATCGCGCGTTGTCCTTGGAGCGATTTCAATACCCTCGGATCTTATCATCGCGCGAGCGCCGATTAATGGGAGAAATAATGACGCGTTCGCGATTCCGTTACGAGCGCCGATAAACGACGCGGGTCGAAAGGGTTTCGAGCAAATCCCACGGATAGGGAGCGGGCGTTACCCGTCGTAAACGTGGACGGAGGACGTAACGACGCCGTCGAGCCAAATCCACCTTTTCGCGCTAGCGCCGGAATTCCGAGCTAATCATTCCGAGTAATTCCGACGACTCTTTCCGGGCGATGGGCGGTTTATCGGCGATTTTATGGATACCGGTGCCGCGTAAACAGCGGCCGCGTCTACCGGTGCATTAGCGTTTCCTTCGTCGTCGATAATTTCGGGGACGCTGACTTACCGGCGACGCGGACGCCGCATCGGACGACCACTTAACGCGATGGCATCGCTCCAAATTGCTCCCAGCTGTACCCTAGTAACTTAGCCGATCGCGAGGAATAACCGAAAGCGCGGACGGAGGAAACGACGACGCCGATCGGCCGCGATTCGCTCGTTACGCGCGGCCCGAGCGGCTAAGCCCTAATAACGGCCCGCAATTAGGATACGCAAAGTTTACCTTGCTCGAGTCCGAGTCCGGGGCTTTGGCCGCGTTCCGCGATAAAAGCGGAGGGAGAGGGGTCGGAAAACGTCGGCGGTCCGGGTTTTCGTTGGCGTCGTTCGACTTAACGAGCGAGCCGCGCGTTTATCCGCTCCCGTGGATAAATATTAAACGGCCAATCGGCGTCCACCGCGCGGTCGTTATTATATCGATTGGCCCGCGGCGGCAAAGCGCCGCGGCAATGAGTTAATACGTGCAGAAGCTAATTTGCAATGCTATTACGGCGTATTATCGAATGCTCCGTTCCGCGAGGCGTCGCCCGAGGCCCGAAACGACGCTTTTTCCGATCGTTGCCCGCGCCGCCGATTATCTCGGCGTTGGCGCGGAACGCCGCGGGAGGAAGACGCGACCGAGCGGATTAGCCGGGGCGACGCGACTTCCGGGGATGTCGATGGGACGTGGAACTCAATTTTCGGCTCCTCATTCGGAAAACATAACCTACTTCGGCTCGGTATTTACGGGTTCCATTAGGAAACTGTCAGCCGGTGATCCCGCTGCGTGGAGCCGTATCGCGCGAGTACGATCGAACGGGGAGACCCGGCGCCTCGCTCGAGGACCGGCTTATGCGCCGCCAACGAAACCACCCTCTCCGTGCCCCCGGAGCCAATAGTTGTAAATTGCGGAGTCTTCTTTCCCTCGAAGGAGGCCTCGCCGATCTCCTCGCATCCGGCCGGCGTATTTTATTTCCGGCGGACGTGACCGATCTCCCGGCAAAGGTCGACTCGGGTTTTCGCGAACGGAACGTTTCGCCGCAGCGAATCGGAGAGGACCGCCCGCCGGATAGCGGAAGAGGAAGTCGAATCGAAAATTTGA